TTTTAGTATAGTGATAACATAATTATTTTCCAGTTCCCCATCTCTTCACAAGAATGACAAAAGATAGCAAGAGATCATTGTGGAACTTTCGTAATTGTGGTGGTTGCTTGGACGGGAAGCATGTGGCTATTGTTAAACCTGCTGATGAAGGGCCACACTACTTCGACTACAAGGGATACCGTAGTGTTGTTTTGTTCGGACTTGTGGATGCAAACCTGGAGTTTATTATGACGCAGTATACACCAGGGTCAATGCTGGACAGAGAAAATGTGTTGTGGAAGGAGACTGGAGGGAAGAGCAACCTCAAGGACTTTTCGATATGATTTGGGCCAGGAAAGGTGCCATTCCAAGACAGGATGGTGAGCAACAGAGCACAACACTAAAATACGCTTACAGTAGTTACAGTGCACTTTTCATTTCCTACGGTGGTTTGATAATAAATTTTATGAGTGAAGATCCTTAATTCCTGCAGTTTATTTTATACAACCTATCAATAGCCCTACCAAGCCCTACCCTTCTACGAAGGTACTTATTATGTTTTAACAAGTTTTCATTACCGATCTGAAATCTATCTACCGGTATTTCAAAATGAAAAACATAAATATTTCCTATGAACTTACTGTCAAAGCTGTTAATTCTAATCTGCCATCATCAACATCTTCAGCTTGTACATCCAAATTAGATTTGCTCTTCCGGGGATTTTCTTGGTCTGCCGTTAAAAGAAGCATATCAAAGTACCAAAATATTGGCTTGTACACTTCATCCTCCGACGCACCACTTCTTTTAGTATCCCGAACACGGCACAGTTCTTTCCTAAACGAGGCCCGGATACTATCAACTTTTTTCTTAACGAACTGCAAGTCAGCATCAGGGATTTTCTCCTGCGTGAATTGCACGAGTAGATCCCAGGCCTCATCCCGTTTTGCCCTGTTCGAATAATCTGCTCTGCGAACTTTCCACAAATCCGGTAATTCACGGTAATCTTCCAAAAACTTTGTCACAAAGTCTGGACTCATGAACGTTTTGTTCGCCATGGAAGCCGACATCCTCTAGTGACAACACAGAACAAGTCACAAAATCACACCGTCTGCGCGTGTCGATACACGAATCTGGTTCTGGACTCACCACTCATGTACTAGCCAATAACTAGCGAGCGGCGAGCCGAGTCCCACCGAAGGGTCTGGCTCGTGACACCCCACCCACAAACGAGTTTGGCTCAATGGAACCTGAGCCGAGCCGGACTCGTACGTGGATGGGCTGCTTTAAAAAGAGACATCAATCACATGTTCCAACATATCCCAATATCTATTTTCTCCCTAGACATTCCTGTACCCAACTGCTCCTGATATCCCCCTCTAACATGGCTGGCTAGCTTACTTGCAGGTCCAGGGATCATCATTGAGGCCATCAGACTGGTCCACACCCTGGCTGGTTTAAACATTATTGCATGGTGCTCCCTAGCTTGCAGCTCCTTCTCTCTTTACATGGCCCATCCATCAGAAATGCTTCCCTTTTTGGTCATACCGTCTTAAACATCTATAACACACCCAACGACCCAGCCCACTGGTGACCGTACTTCAACAACACCAACTTCCCTTCGTCAGACTTCATTTTGGCACATGCAGCAATCAACACTTAATACACTACCAACAAAATTAATGCCGGCAATATTCGCTGAAAACCACTTGCAGAAAATCACACAGAATCCATAAAACTCATTGCACTTACCTGACTTACAAAAAGCAATCTCATCACTGGCAAGTCACACTTTTCGATCATAGGACAACTGCTATTGCGCATCTCCCGTTAACGACTGTTTGGAAACTCCCTCTCGGTGATGATCACTAAGTATTCCCGTTACCTCCCGCTTTGACATCTCTTTACAGATTTACATGAAGAAAATACAAACTAAGTAATGCGTGGTGGTCAGCACACTTTTAAAGCCCTCCTGGGTCAGAGAACGGACACCCACTATTATCAAGACTGTCCGGTATAGCTATGCCAGAGATCTTCATCACCGCACTTCCTAAACGAGTGAAACTGCAGAGCCCCCCCCATCTGCTTCCGAACAGATTCACAATGACTGACGTTTTGAAGATCTTCCTGTGGCATTAGCTTGAACTGAGAATGTGAAATGGGATGAAGCAGATAAAACGAAATAACATATTCTTTCCAGGAAGAGGAATCACATCTTTGGTGACAAGCTGCGGCCAAAGCCAAGAGCACCTGCAACTTACAGCCTGTCACACAGGACAAACTCTCTCTCATTCCGAGATGTGTTGGCCACCACACTATGAAGCAGACTCTTATCAACGCAATGTGATTGCGGCCGACATTTCTACTATTTTACTACACTCCGTAGAACACCCCACACACATAACTAGACATCCACACCTTACACGTTCACATGATTCATATCTAAGTTGCTATCACACTTGCAACACAATTACCACAACAGAGCAAGCCCCTGTCAATGGGTTAAATAACAGAAAACTGCACCACCTCTCCAGAGGCACACAAAATTTACACGCTGCATTCAGTCCTCTTCTCCATGTACGCACTCAGCAACAGGACGGCCAACCATCGGGGACACAAGCGGTCTTCTCTCGGATGTCAGTCTGTCTAGTGTTGGTGCACTCCTCCTGCAATATTCCAGGAAAGGTGTAAGATACACAAGAAATCTAGAATCTCAAGGGGCCACTTTCACAGACATTGGAGGCAAAGTCGTCTGAAATGGAACAATCTCATGCCAACTTATTTTATCTAATGGGTGCCTCCTGCTTATTCAAATATTTAATCTGAAATGGGGGCGGGGGGGAATGCCGTTCATAGACATACAGGGGATTAGACACGTAAGAACAAACATCCAACATGCAGTCAGCCTCTGTCAGAGCATTACCGTTGCTTGGCAGAAAAAGTATTCCTCTTCCAACTTGGTACATATTCCGAATATTCATCCAGTTAATATTCTTTGTGATATGAAGTCAGAAGACAGTGTCCTACTTCTTGTACTGGTGCCTCTTATGAACAGACAGACACACACACTCACTCACTCACATCCAGTTATTGTAGCTCTATACATACGCTGCACTTTGTGAGCCAATTAATATGCTCTCTCTTTGAGAAATGTTGGTCCAACGCCCTATCTCGTGTCAGGGGCACAACACAGAGGTTTTACTCGCCCGTAACAGGTCATCTAACTGCGGCCAATATCGTTCTGGTTCTTCACCCCAGCCATGTCAAACAGAACACCCAGAGGGAACTGAAGCAGGTAACTTCATGATGACGGCATGGCCGGTGTCCTAGAACATTAATGAAAATACATACTTCAGTACCCCAACACAGAGCAAGCGAGCGGACATCACGGCGCACGGAACGACAACCATCAACACTGCACAATGCATACGCCCGAAAACGTGAGTACAGAAGGGATGTGGACTGCCTGCAGGAATATGCCGGGGCACCAACAATGTCGGCGTGAACAACTCTGTAAGCTCCCGAGGAGAGCATTCCACCCTAGGGAATGTTGTGAATGTGCATGTACCTACGTACAGAGGCAAAAGGAGAGGTTACGGTGATGAGAAATTAATCGCGGAAGTTGAAACAAACAATTTCCTTGGCTTACAAGTTGACAACACCTCAGATTGGAAGAAGCACACTGAGTATATTATTCCCTAATTAAGCTCTGCGTGCCTTGCCATCAGAACAGTCATACCACCCATGACAATAGATGCTATAAAGCTAGTTTACTTTGCTTATTTCCACTCTGTGGTGTCTTATGGATTAATATTTTGGGGGAATTCAACAGACAGTAATAAGGCTTTTTACATGCAAAAGAAAATAATCACAACGATGGCAGTTGTCAAAAGCAGCTTACCTTGTAGAGAATTATTTCGTAAATTTAATACACTTCCACTTGCAAGTGAATTTATACTCTGCTTGCTATCATTTGTGGTGGAAAAGTTGGATAATTTTAAAAGAAATACAGATGTACATAATTTAATTACAAGATGTAAACCCTGCTAAATGTCAAAGAGGAGTGTACTTTACACGTGTCAAGTTATTTAATAATCACCAACCAACAATTAAAACTCTAAATTGTGATATAAATGTATTCAAGCCTGCACTGAAATTAGCTTTCATACTTGAATTGCAAAATCTGAAGGTTATGTACATTCATATGTGAAACACGTTCTTGTAATTGTGTCAAAAGTACCGAGGTTTACGTATATTGAATGAAGTCCTGAAGTCTATGTTTACTGTATGAAATGACTTGCTCTGCATCCTTTGGATTACTCCTAAGAAGGATCTATGGAATGCAAACAAACTCTACTCTCTAACATACCTGAATAATGCAATTCCTTATCCAAGTAACAAACACTCCAGGTGCTTCGTTCTGTCTCGTTCTTCACATCTCCAACTCCAAAAAAGCTGCTTCCCCATCACGCACACAACTGATCTTCTGAAACACTGATATTCAGACAAATTGGTCCTCCATGTCTTCGTTGATGCCAGTAAACACACACTACAGCTACAGTTCACATGAAAGTTGCTACTCAGCACATCCCCTGATCTCACACTCCTCTTTGAGACAGACTAGGCACTCCCACTAAATCTATAACAGTACACCTCCTCGGAAAGCAAGGTAATCGCACGAGGGCCTGAGGTCTTCCTTGTGGCATTGTGAGGCATGCTACGAACACCCCATACTTGGTCACTAGGAATCAAAAGTGGGCAACTGTGGTGTGGTGTGGTGTGGTGGCCACATAACCAACATTACAACCTGTAACCCTAGCTGCTTACTTCTAGCTTCTTCACTGCGATAAGCTCTTGCACAAATTTAAATCAACAGCTACTGAATTTCCACATGCAAGTCACAAAAACAGAGGCTGCCACCACGAGTCTGTGGGTCATCCCAACCGCATCGACTGATGAATTGTGTCCATCACGCACAATGGTCATGTCAGCTACCCGAGCAAAGTCTTGCTACCTCCGTAGTAATGATGGATTCGAAACTGCATAACGGCTGAAGTATCCCATATGCTTGCATTCACGCCTACCTGAAACAAAACCATGTACAGAAATAAACATCCGCATTGAGAGACCAGTATTAATTCTTACTACGAAGGCACTCTACACCACATTAATAACCTACTGGCAACTAATCCGGCCTTTCGTGCAACCAAAATATTTCCCACTTTACGTACTTCACACAGGAGAAAGATGACAAACATCAGTTCAAATAAACTTGCAAGCCCTGGCAATATAAGAGAGTAAATCTGCACTCGACTGGGCATGCATCCTACCATCACGCCGTCCGAAGGAAACAATAACAGCAGAGGAGCTGCGCCATTTTCTCGCACGCAGGGACGGCAACGTCTGAAAAACAGCGAACACATCCCGCCACCGGCGGAGCTTGAGGGATATTCAATGATCAATATGTGCGCACCCTGACGAACTGTCCTGTCATCTACCGACAATACACCTGAGGTACATGCCCGTCCGCGAACACTACACGGCACTGCCGAACCAAATGCTGACTGAAATACCACTCCAAAGACTGTAAAATTATGAAGACCTGAAACTTTATTCCGTGAATACCATTAGTTTCACATCTTCTCCTTTAAAAATGACAGGAATTAAAGAAAAAAATTAAGGCGAAACGAGCTACCAACTTCGCCTATAAGAAACCAACTACCAATCACTTCCATAACCTCAAAAATCATAAAGTAATTTATGGATCCAACCACACCCAATAAACTACAGCTCAATCAACTTAGCACGAAGCACTATGAAACAAGTAGCCCACAATTTGCATCTACATCGCCTACATCCTAGGGCACATTTGTCACATAACCTCTCGGTCGCCGGAATGTTACTGCACAGAGCAACCTTCGACACCCTGCTCAGATTGATACCAGACACAACTCTTGAATACCTGCACGTCTACCTATAAATCACCCAGTGAAATCGTCCACGTCCTTTCCAACACGAACTTATCCTCGTCACATTTCATGTTGGCACTCAAGACATCACGCAAATTCAGCACCGACATTCTCCCTGCGCGATAATTTCTCACAAGTAATTGTGGGATTTCGTAAACTACAGCTCAATGAACGAAGCACTATAAACGATTATTGCATATGTCGCCATTACACAGCCCCTCTGCCACCAGGTTGTACTTCACGAGCATCTATAACACACCCAACGACCCAGCCCACTGGTGACCGTACTTCAACAACACCAACTTCCCTTCGTCAGACTTCATTTTGGCACATGCAGCAATCAACACTTAATACACTACCAACAAAATTAATGCCGGCAATATTCGCTGAAAACCACTTGCAGAAAATCACACAGAATCCATAAAACTCATTGCACTTACCTGACTTTCAAAAAGCAATCTCATCACTGGCAAGTCACACTTTTCGATCATAGGACAACTGCTATTGCGCATCTCCCGTTAACGACTGTTTGGAAACTCCCTCTCGGTGATGATCACTAAGTATTCCCGTTACCTCCCGCTTTGACATCTCTTTACAGATTTACATGAAGAAAATACAAACTAAGTAATGCGTGGTCAGCACACTTTTAAAGCCCTCCTGGGTCAGAGAACGGACACCCACTATTATCAAGACTGTCCGGTATAGCTATGCCAGAGATCTTCATCACCGCACTTCCTAAACGAGTGAAACTGCAGAGCCCCCCCCATCTGCTTCCGAACAGATTCACAATGACTGACGTTTTGAAGATCTTCCTGTGGCATTAGCTTGAACTGAGAATGTGAAATGGGATGAAGCAGATAAAAGGAAATAACACATTCTTTCCAGGAAGAGGAATCACATCTTTGGTGACAAGCTGCGGCCAAAGCCAAGAGCACCTGCAACTTACAGCCTGTCACACATGACAAACTCTCTCTCATTCCGAGATGTGTTGGCCACCACACTATGAAGCAGACTCTTATCAACGCAATGTGATTGCGGCCGACATTTCTACTATTTTACTACACTCCGTAGAACACCCCACACACATAACTAGACATCCACACCTTACACGTTCACATGATTCATATCTAAGTTGCTATCACACTTGCAACACAATTACCACAACAGAGCAAGCCCCTGTCAATGGGTTAAATAACAGAAAACTGCACCACCTCTCCAGAGGCACACAAAATTTACATGCTGCATTCAGTCCTCTTCTCCATGTATGCACTCAGCAACAGGACGGCCAACCATCGGGGACACAAGCGGTCTTCTCTCGGATGTCAGTCTGTCTAGTGTTGGTGCACTCCTCCTGTAATATACCAGGAAAGGTGTAAGATACACAAGAAATCTAGAATCTCAAGGGGCCACTTTCACAGACATTGGAGGCAAAGTCGTCTGAAATGGCACAATCTCATGCCAACTTATTTTTCTAATGGGTGCCTCCTGCTTATTCAAATATTTAATCTGAAATGGGGGTGGGGGGTGAATGCTGTTCATAGACTTACCGGGGATTAGACACGTAAGATCAAACATCCAACATGCGGTCAGCCTCTGTCAGAGCATTACCGTTGCTTGACAGAAGAAGTATTCCTCTTCCAACTTGGTACATATTCCGAATATTCATCCAGATATTATTTTTTTTTATATGAAGTTGGTGTCCTTAATGCACTAGTTTCGGACATTAATGACGGGGAATCTTTCCCCAAAGGGTACAAATGTTAGTCCTTATTCTTTGTTTACTACGCCAACAAGTTGGTAACTTGTAAAGTGATTTATTGACAATGGAGTTTCATATCTGTACTCACTGCTTCTATGGCAAGCAGTACGCAGGTCAGATGACACACAGCATGCAGCTCAGTAGAATCTGAAGGATCACTCTATTTCCGCTACTCCTAAAAAGTGAAAATACATTCACATTCAACAAAACAAGATACCTCCATACATGCATCACACTCCTCTAAGAACACACAGTTTTACTTCACCACACAGATAACACTTCTATCTTAGCCAATGAACAAGCACCTTCCATTTTCACAAGGCAAATTTTGTCATGATCACTACAAACCCATTCACAAGTTATCACTTTAAATATGGGTCACGACTGTGACACAACCAGCCACCTGACAAAAATTAAACTCCCTCTCTTACAGATTCATATTACAACCTTTCTCTTCTTCCCCACCACCCCCCTAAAAAAATAGCCGTATGGGCTGACATTATTCCACACCACTTCATAATACTGTCACTAAAAACTCTACATCTCCTTCCCACACACACATCACATCAGTCCCATGCAACTTCGGTTGTCACTGATTTGTTACTGCTACATATTTTAGTTTTGCTGAGCATTAAAGCCTTTCTTTTTTCCACAAATATGGTGATATTCAAAATATGATCACCAGGAAATACGACAACCAAGTTACAAGCGGCACTGTAATGATAAACGGTGCCACATATTCTTGGACAGGCTTTACTCTGTCACATAACAAGCACATCTAATACATCATATTGCTAGTGTACTTCCGCAATGCATGTAAAGTTGAGACAAAGATAAATCTGTAGCAGACAGGAGGGCCCTTCATGATCACAGCAAATTTCATGTTGCAATATGAAGTGAGCCTGCCAAGTGTAGGTGAACATACTCCACTGATGACACACAGCTTTTCCCTCCGTAGAATCCCAAGGATCAATTAAGCTTCATCTCCTCAGCTATTCCCAGAAAGACAAAATGCATTCACTTTCAACTATCAAGTCCCCCCCCCCCGACACAAATGCAAAAACAAACAGCATTCTGATGACGCAGTTGATTGAACACATACTTTTCTTCTGGGGGGGCACACCACACAGGCAGCATTGCTAAACAAGCATTACTTCACTACTTTGAAATTCCTCAAGTAACTGTAGAACCCGAAAATAATAAACACTTCTGAGTATATAAATGTTTATTTATTTGATTCCTCGAGAATCAAGGACACATAACCTCTACCGACAAACAAGAACACCCCATAATTTCCAGTCTCTTATTCCGTAACCTAATAACAGCCCAACAAGATCGCACACAAGAAACTTACAGCAATGATTCTTGCATTATTGCATTTTAAGACCGAATATTTGCCATTATGAACTCAAATAAATTTAGCGCGCAAACATCCTCCAAAGCAAAACCCCAATGCTTGATTGTATATCTGTTTTAATAATATGTGTGATTTAGCCAACTATTGCTCTCAGGTTTGCAATACATAGGCTCAACCTGGGGATATGTAAAATTCCACCTTTTTGTTTCATATATTCATTTGAGTCTCTCTACAAGGACTGAGATGACTTCTTCTCATTCAGAATGACTTACTGGTTAATCAAATACAGTTATGAAAGACAAGGAACCTTAAAAATAATACTTCTAGTATCATTATGGCAAATGTCACATAAGAAGTGGAAATTATACAAATATCACTATAATACTACTGCAGTACTTGCATTAGAGGTACGACATGCCCATTTCTTGAGTGCAGATTGGGATCTGAAAGAACAAGGCAACTGCTTCTTGTACTTGCAATGAACTATATGGATCACTGTGTAAACCACCACTACCCATTCACTTTAAATCCTTTCTCTTCATATTACGATACATCTCTGTGCTGGTGCCTGCCCAGTAGTTACATGGAATTTCTTGTAAGATACCTACTGTGATTGGTAATCATTAAATTGGAAAGCTCGCTCCATAATGATACAATAAGCACAGCCAAAAATTAAATGAAACATGATGAATCAACTTGACAGCCTTCCTTTTGTGAAGTGTAGATTACATCACAGACAACTGTTTTAAATCATGGGGATACATTGAATGGTTATAATTCTGCATTAATATATTCTAACATTCTTAACAAAACTTTCAGATAATTTCATCATGATATACAGCCAACAACATATTTTGTTAGAAGATACATCACTTCAGTCAAAAACAGTGAATCCACCAACTGACACATGTCAAGGGTTTTAAAATCCTTGCTTACAAAAGGTTAATTCCAGTCCTGCATGCCGTTTTATACGAACTGTTGCACATACAAAAGTAAGGTCCAGTTTACACAATCTAATTTCAGAATTTGAAAAGAGAGGAAGAAAATGCTCTGCTCAAGTTAAACATTGTAAAACAAAGTTTATTAATTAAGAAATTTGGGGAAAAAAGCAGATAGAAACAACCAATGTATACAAGCTCTCAATGCATTTCAGTCCTGATTATGACAAACTATCATTCTTGTGCTGATGAATGATTTATGAACTGGTTTAACGGTGGACTTTCATCTTAGAAGATTCTATTCCTGGACTGTGGTTTGGATAATCAAATACGGGCGTACCTCGGAAATATTGCGGGTTTGGTTCCAGACCACCGCAATAAAGCGAGTCACGCAATTTTTTTGGTTTCCCTGTGCATATTAAAGTTATGTTTGCACTATACTGTAGTCTATTAAGTGTGCAATAGCATTACGTCTAAAAAAAACATTGCGAGAATCACCAAAATGTGACACAGAGACACGAAGTGAGTAC